CATTATATATTACAAAGTAATAATAAGAGAAATAAAGTGCACAATAAATGCATTGTGCTTGAATCAGCCCAAAACCACCCCCCTCAGCCCCCATCTGTGGAAAAATTATCTTCCATGAAACCAGTCCCTGGTGCCAAAAAGGTTGGGGACCGCTGCTTTAGTTGAAAACTTCAAGACCCAGATCGAATCAAAGCCAAAGGCTTCAACAAAGCCTTCCCTGACCCTATCAGGCTAAGTTAGCGGGTCCTTCACTGCTGTATGCTATTCACCGTGCAAGTCACAGCACTTCCCATGCTGCAACAGATTTAACTTTGTATGTGACTATGACCTGAGAAGAGAGACCCCAATTTATTCTTGTGTGCACCCTAAGCAACTAGCACAGGGCCTACCACCCAACAGGCACTCAACTAACGTTTTGTGAATCCATGTTCTACGCTGGTGTTTTAGAACCCCTTTACACCTTGTCCGCTGTTCAGTCAGTGACTTACATGGTGTTTAGCTGACATGCTCTACAACTCCTTCTCAAACAAAAATTAATTGCTGGATTCTATTCTGCAAATAAAGGTAATTGATTTTTGCAAGAAGCAAAGTCTAAGTCTGATAGCAATATACCAACAGGCATAAGGCCTTAAGTACTGTTCATTAGGTATGTGTCTCATTCATTGGAATTTAACTACTGGAGGAATTATTCGATCATGACAAGTACTACTGCGGTTTCTCAAAGGGGAGGACACAGCTCTTAAGAGTTCTTAATAACTGGAAAGGTCTATAGTATCATACAAAAAAAGATTTCACAATGGAAGAAAGTCACAGGCACAGGAAAGTTATAGGAAGGTAAACATGGAAATTATAAACAAGAATATGTCTCCTTTCATCAAGAAAAGTAAAGAAAACTTTCCCCAGATTTTGGTAATTAAGAGCTCCAGAATATCCAACAGGAATTCGACAGTGGCCCTCACACCCTGGCTGCGCTTCCTTGGTCTCTTCCCTTTCACCATGCTGCCAAGTCCAGAGAGCCCGTGCCCAGGCCCCGTGAACACTGGCCCTCCCCTCCAGTCCCAGGGCCCCAAGGACATGAGTTCACACGTGTCTGCAGCCTGGACCACTCCTGCACCCGTTCTCCCCTCAAGCTTGCTATCCTATGCTGAGCCCCACCTTGGCAGGATGCCCTGGTTCGTCACAAGTGCTGGTGTCATCCTTCCTGCACACCCCACATTCCAACCACTAGCCAATCCTACTGCTCCATGCTCAGGCGCACCCAGTACCACTGCCCTTCCTCCAGCACCACCACCTGGCCTGGTGCTCTCCTCCTGCCCGCTTGCCACTTCTGCTCCAGGACACTAGTGCCCTGCCCTCACCCTCTGGCTGGCTGCCCCCACCACCTTTGCATCTCCCATGTTCCCTGCAGTTCCTGAAACCCACGGCCAAGGTAGTTCCACCTCAGAGCCTGTGTGCTCCTGCACTGCCCTGACTGCCTCTGAGAAGCCGGCCTCCATCACCCTCTTCCCCTGATGCCAGTTGACTTCTTCTTCACAGGACTTATCACTACCTGGCACTATACGTTTGTCATTTATCTCTTCCCCCTAGATAGTGAGCCGCACCACTGAATCCCCAGCTCCTGGAATGGTGTCTGGCACATAGTACCTTATGTACTTAGTAAATGTTTATCCCATGAATGCGCCCTCAACATCTCTCCTTTCCTCTTTAATTTACACAGAAGTGATACGATTCCAACACACACACACACACAATATAGAACCGTGCCAAAATAACTGAGGTATGAAAACACTCTAAGTTCTCATCTCTCCCCAGGATAGACAGCTGCATTTTGATGCTGCAGAATAAATTAGCCTATTGTAAGCGATGATTATGTTATAGAGCTGTAAAAAGATCAGGCAATCCATCAAAATTCTGAGGCCATTCCCTGGGACAAGTTAAAAATTCTACCTTTTTGAATAATTATTCTTCATTTTTTTGACACCTCAAATAATATTCAATCAAGGCAATGGAAAATGTTAATTACATAAATCAAAATAGGCAAAACAAATAAAGCCTAACTATGAAATCAAGTCAGATGAAAATTGCTATTTATGCCTATCTTTTCTCTGAATTCTTGTTAGAACATTCGTTTGGAAAGTGGTTCTGCGCAGCAATCACATCTGAAGTGAGCAGAAGGCAGGTGAAACAGGAAGGCACCGCACCTGCAATGTGATCATGGGGACTTGGCTTTTGCAGTGACTACACGTGGCCTCCCGGTATTTGCAGGCCTTTTCCACGTGATCACGCAGGTCTTTTCTCAAGACTTTTTCTTTGCAGTCAGCACGCACACACGGAAGCTCCTCAAACTGGCAATCATTTTTTAAGTGCACCTGTAAGACAAACCATTAAAAGTTCTTAATTAACAAAAAAATTCAACCTGAAATACCACATTCTAACCTCTATGCAGTAAAATTCTACAGAAATGTTTCTGCCCTGCCTTCTTCATGGCAAAGAGTGACAAATATGCCAAGAGACACTGAATTTCATGTTCTATTCAGTGATTACTCAAACTATACTGCTGTTGAAGAATTAAGTCAGTTGTCCCCCTTGGATAAATAGATAGATAACTATCCGCTAACAACTTTGTTGTATTCTAATTCAAATATCTTTCTAGGATAAAATATGATACTGACCAAAAAAAAGTAGAATTTTATGGTACAAAAAGGTTTCAATGGGCCTTCCAAAATTAAAATCGAATTCAAATTTCTCTCTATTCTAAATAGAGTGTTTAAAAACCAGTTGCCAATTATGTTGTAAAAATAACATTTTATACTCAAGTGGCTTTGACTGCTCCATGTTTGGTTGGGTTTGGAAAGATTAATGGTCTTAATCTAAACATGGTCTTAAGGTGCCACACCACACCGACCAGCTCCTCCACTGGGCATGGTAAGGGGCTCTGTTCCTTCATGTGTAGGCCTCTGTTGCCACTTTGGTACTTACCAACAGATGTCCCAGCGTTAACTGTTCTGCACAACCTCTGCTTTCATTCCGACAATAGATCTGAAGAGCCAGAATCTCTCTCTTGCAGCAATTATCCTTAAACACCTGAAATTGAAAGATCATTATTTTAGAGGATTAATATTTCTTAATCTCCACATGCTGCTACTTTGGACAAGGCAAAACCACTTTAAAAAAATCAAGAGAGCAACTCTTAAGTGGACCTCAGAAAGCATTAAGGACCATCTTAATTTCCACAAGTAGAATGAAAAAGCTGCCCCCACTAAGAGACACAATTTAAATAATATAACCTTAACTATTATCTTTTATTAGTTAAGCCAAAAGAAAATGAATTATATTGAATAATTAAAGATTACTCTGGAGAATCTAAACATTTTCAATTAACTTTGGCATAAGCTCAGGACAGGGGCAGAGGAAGACTAAGTTCATACTCTGACTCTGTAGACTTCCGAGAGCCAGCACCGAGAAGGTGGCCACAGTGGTATGCCTCCCCACCAGAGGACAAGGGCAGAATCTCATGCAACTCCACACACTTTTTATATCACTTGCTAGGAAAACGGACAAACTACTGTAAAATACTGTATTTTGGGGATAATGTGTAAAACTTTCATTTTGGTTCCTTCTAAAGTTATGCTGTTATAACTTGTTTTTCACCAAAAAGAAAAGTATTAGCCTACTATTGGGAAAAAAAAACCTCTTTTAAATACATATAGCAAAGAATGAAGTTAATCTAATAATGAAAATGTTTCCTTTTAAAAATGAAAACCTTCCTGCCTTTCTTTATTTTTCCCTTAGAAAACAAATATTCTCACTCTTTCTAACAATACAATCTACAATATCTTATTCTTCGGGCATTTCTAAGAAACTCCCACCTGTTAACACTCTGGAACAGTGGAAAAACAGGACGTTTTATGCGCCTTCCTCAACTCCACGCAAAGAAATAGAATCAACAGCTGTTAAGAGTTAAAAATAAACTAATTTGGACTCAAAGCTAATCCTTTATAAACATGACTTTTTTAAAAGATCATGACTTAAGGTACCAAAGTCAACATAACAGATATTTCTAACCAGTAAGAAACAGGCTTCCTTTTTGTCCATTAAGTTCCTTGAGTCATTTGAGTTGAACTCTCCAATAAAAAAAATTGACTGAAAACATCAGAATACTAAAAGCACAGAATTTTAGAGTTGAAAAGGACTCAGATTATTTACTCTACATGTCCCTTTTTATAGATGAGGACTGGAGGCCTCACATCCCTCAGTGACCTTGTGAGGTGTGTATCTAGGTCACCTGGGGCCCAAATATTAATAGCTCCACTCTTCCCATGAGGGTCCACGCCTTTAGCCCATCTCATCAATGATTCTTTAACAGAACTAGTTTTTCTTCAGCCACCAATGTCATTGAAAAATAGGGACAATAATTCTAAATAATGAAACAAAGATACTAAAAAAATCATTCTAGCTGATTGTTTCAAACTTCTCTCTGAGTCACAATTGTTAGATACATGTTAACAAGTTAGCATCATATGCTGAAATAAAAAAACAAAAAACAAGTTAGCACGGTACATGTTAAGGTAAGGATTTTTGTTTTTGTTGGTTTGAGACAGACTCTCACTCTGTTGCCCAAGCTAGAGTGCCATGGTGTCTGTCTAGCTCACAGCAACCTCAAATTCCTGACCTTGAGTGATCCTCCTGCCTCAGCCTCCCAGGCTGCTAGGATTTACAGGCATGAGCCACCATGCCCGGGCTGCTTTTCTTAATAATAATAATAGCAGGCAGTCCTAGTGTGGTGGTTCATGCCTGTAATCCTAGCACTCTGGGAGGCTGAGATGGGAGGATCCTTTGAGCTCAGGAGTTTGAGACCAGCCTCAGCAAGAGTGAGACCCCATCTCTACCAAAAATAGAAAGAAATTATCTGGACAGCTAAAAATATATACAGAAAAAATTAGCTGGGCATGGTGGTGTATGCCTGTAGTCCCAGCTACTCGGGAGACTGAGGCGGGAGGATCCTTTGAGTTCAGGAGTTTGAGACCAGCCTCAGCAAGAGTGAGACCTTGTCTCCACCAAACATAGAAAGAAATTATCTGGACAGCTAAAAATATATACAGAAAAAATTAGCCGGGCATGGTGGCACATGCCTTTAGTCCCAGCTACTCGGGAGGCTGAGGCGGGAGGATCGCTTGAGCCCAGGAGTTTGAGGTTGCTGTGAGCTAGGCTCACGCCACGGCACTCTAGCCCAGGCAACAGTGCAAGACTCTGTCTCAAAACTAATAATAATAATAACAATAATAATAGCAGGTAAATGCTAAGGAAGAAGAGGTACATGGAGAAGTGACCAATTCCATCTCTAACTCTTCCAGAGCAGGTTACATCAGATGCCCTTGTCCCCTGGCAGCCCAGGGGCACCTTGTGCCAGAAACCCTCAAATCACTGTACTCACCTGGGCTGTCCTGATCAACAAACCCGACCTACAAAATGCTTTAGACAGGAAAACCCCAGAGGAAGAATTTTATTGTACAATTTAATGACCTACATTTAAAAATTGTTAGGTTCATTAATCAAAATATTGGAACCACACATTTTTTACTGATATTTTAAGAATGAATTGTTTCAAACTACAAGTGTGCCTGGCAGGGTTTGGCAGCACGTGGGTGACGACCTGTCAGAGACAACACGAGAGGGGACGAGCCCCGGGAAGGAAGCTGGCGGGTGAGTTTTCAGAAGCTCACGCTCTGAGTGTGCAGTGACACCCATGGACTCTCACTGGTGCACACACACCGAGGGGGAAAGAGAAGGGACTAATCACACTGGAAGTTTAATGACTTCACGGTATTACAGGGGGTGGGAGGGCAAGAGAGAACAAATTCAAATGAACCCCTCAGACTAGCACATGTCTGAAGGTAAAATCTAGTGTAAGAGTTGAGTATCAGCTGTCTGGGATAAAGACCCACAGCGACAGAAGTGACCTAACCAGAACAGCCCTGCAACGGACAGGCATCTGGGCATTTACTCACATCAACTCACTGATGCCCGACACCACCTCCAGGGGGTCTTAGCAGGTGAAGCACCTCGCAGAGCTCATGCAGCAGAGCAGCAGCCAAGTGGACCTTACCCTGCCATCTGCCCAGGTGACCTGTCTCAGAGCCTGCTCCATCAGTCATCAAAACTGAGGTAAAACCGAGCGTCAGAGTGCTGAATGCAAACTATGTGAAAAGCATTACCCAGCTTAGAACATCTGACAAAATGACTTATTAAAAACCCAAGAATACCTTATCTTTAATGATGCTTTCTTGACACGCTGTACATTTTGGACTTGAGGAGCTGAAGGGAAACACACAACAATGACATTAGATGAGTCCCTTTCTCACCAGAACTCACGGAACCACTCGCTGTACCGTCCGGTCTGCTCTGCGGCTTACAGCAACCAGCAGAGCTTCAGGGTGCCATGGTGAATTTGGTTCAAACATGAAGCCATAGGAGAAAAAGGCTGCATTTTTTAAAATAGTAATTTTTCAAAAGGAAGTTATCAAGTAGAACAGTTTAGTTCAGTCCCTCTTGGAAAGCCCCTTTTGATTAACGTAAAAGTGAAATTTTATTTCAGAAACCAAAACTAGCTATCTGCCGAGGACCTCCTCAGTGTGAGCATCCAGTTTATTAAAAGAGCCTTTAAATGCTCTTGCTTTTTAAAAACAGCCAGTCCTTCCTCCCTCGGGGTCCACTCCTCCCCCCAGATCCACCATATCCCCAGGGTCCGACCTCTCCCCCCACCACGAGTAGGCCTGTCCCAGCCCAGAGGTGCAGTGGGTCTTGTGTGAAAGGAAATCAGGTGCTCTGAGGCTTCTGAGCTGTTACCAAGCTCAACTCAAGCCTTACTCCACCCACAAGCAGGCAGAGGTGAGTTGGCTGTTTGGGATAAGTGGGTTGAGACCACAGAGGGAAGTACTGAGAGGAGTGCGAGGGTGATGATGGTGGATGACAGGGAGGGAGGCTGGCTGCTATACTCAGCCTGGGGCCTGGGGCAGCTCAGGCCAAGTAGGGACCAGGAGGAGGAGCTGGCAAGCCTTCCCAGGCTGAGGTGCCCTGGCAGCAGCACCTGAGTTGAGTGGGTCCTGCAGTAACCCAGTGCCCAGCATGATGCCCAGAACATACAAAATATCTGTGACATGAATAAAGATGCTTTCTTAGCAGTGTTATTTTTGCTGTAAAACTCCAGCCTGTCTTTGTGATTATACAATGGCATCAATACTCAGCCAATGAGGGCTTCCACAGGCCTGGTGCACATTCCTTGAGTACTTGCTACATAAGCATGGATTTGGATTGGATTTCTGCTTAGGTAGGGACTTACCCAATCCTTCACACAACCAGGGGACACACTAAGGCTCCATGGACACAGTGGGCAACACCATTAGGGAGACACAAGAGATGAGTGGGGAGGAGAGGAACAACAGTCTGCAGGACGGGAGGAGGGATGTGGGGCAGGGGGGCCAGGCTTGGGCCAGAGATACACAGGGGGAATGCTATTGTATTTCCCTAGCAATTCACAAACTGGGCTCTGAGACTGTCATATACTTCTTTAGGGCTTTAAACCTTTAGAGGTTTATATTTCAGAGAAATAAATAAACAGGTGGAAGAGTGAGGACAACTGGCCGGAGCCAGGCTGCCCACAGCAAGCCCGTGAGGATGCCTACCTCAGCAAGGCAGCCATGCAGGTCTCGCAGAACCGGTGACCACACTCGGTCTGCTTCGGGTTGCACAGCACCAGGCGGCACTTCTCACACTTGTACTTGTCCTCCACAGCCTTCACAAACTTTTCTTTGTAACCTCCTTGTTCAGGGACGAAAACTGATGTCCCAGCGCTGCGGTCAGGATGCAGCTTTAGCGGTGGGTTAGCCTGCAGAGGGCCAGGGGAGTCCATCTTTTTACTTGACTCCATTTTAGGAAAGAGAAATTCTGTTGGGAAAAAAAACAATACGGGAGTAGAGTGCCATCACATCTTCCCACGCGAGGAAGTAACAAACACAGCTCTGAGAAAGCAGAAGTGCCCGAGAGACGTGGTGTTTTAAGTAACACACAAGAATCCTTCCCAACTTTAATTTGTGTTGGGAACAAAACATGATCAAATATGCTTCCCTCCTTTCTACTTTACCCAAACATCCCTATTAACATTACTATCCAAACAAAAACTTCCTTACAGGTATACTTAATAAATTGTACTTTCGAAGTTCTTTAGAATACATGTAACACCACTCTGCTGTGTCATGACTTCAAATTCTATCCATCATTCTGGTATTTGGGCCACAGCAATGGCCATTTTCAGCCAATTTTATTTCTTACTTAACTTCTGTGGATGACAACACAGTTTAGGTGGCCCTGTCCAACTCTGACAGCACTGTAGTCAGGTCTGTGGTCAGAACAGCATCTCATTCACACAGCAGCACTTACTGCAATGGATGTGCTTCCAGACCACAAGCACTACTCTTCATGGGGTGAAACCCCACAAGTGTGTGCCCACTGTACCTGAGGCACTTGGCTTCTGATGTCCACCCTTGTTTTACCAACTCTGCAACACCCTGAGCCAGCACTCTGCACTGCAGAGCCTTGGGGTGGGCCTGCCGTGGACCTACAGGGCACTTTCACACAAGTCTGCGAGGAGCGTGTGACGGAGGCCTGGCTCCCCTTTGTACCTGAGGCGGCTCAGGTTCAGGTAGGTACCAATGTGCCCAGGGACATGGCATTGGATGGGGTCTCCTGTGCCCTCGCCTGGGCAGGCTCTCCTATTACACCTGGTTACAAGTTACTCTGCAAGGACATCTGCTTCCCACTTGCAAGTTCCCATCAACAGGTAAAGTAAGCAGATCCTAGAAACAAGCCACCAAGATCCCGGCATGAGCAGCTTTGCCAGCTGAGACCTCGAGTTCAGGAAAATGAAAATAATATAAAGGAGTTGAATAAAGTTCTTGAAGAAACGTTAGCATTAATAAAAATTATGCCATGCATTAACAAATATACGTTAATAAACTGACTAATCATCCTAAATATTTGCTAACACTTACCTAAAGCACAAATTAAGTGTTTCCAGATAATACTATAAAGGCTGGTTTCTCTTTTTTTTAGTTCCTGGATATTGCTCAACGAATGTGCACTTTTTTTTTTTAAGAGATGGGGTCTTGCTCTGTCGCCCCAGCGGGAGTGCAGTGGCTATCCACAAGGCACGACCATTGCATACTACAGCCTTAAACTCCTGGGCTCAAGCAATCCTATTGCTTCATCTCCCAAGTAGCACAGAGTGTATACTTTTACAATAAAAAAACACATTTTGAATGCTGGACAGCGTGAAGGCTGATTTGTACACAGTGAACTTTCTCAGGCAAGTGTTTACCTAGTTCCTTGCGACCCATCTCTACAAAGCCTCTGCCGGGCAGCTCCGTCAAGGACAGCTCTATCCTTCAGGTTCAGCCTACACACCCCCAGCCGTCAGTAGCCCCCAGTCAGTTCTGTACCCCCATGTGCCCTGGTAAGGAAGCAGGGGGACTGTGAAGGGGGGTTGGGACCAAGAGTGAACCAGGCGCAGAATCCTCAGAGAAGACCCACTCCCCCAATGTCTGACACAAGTCACCTCCACACTATGGGACTTTTCTCGCGTGCACGTTCCTGCCTCCGCGCCGCCTCCATCCTTTCCCACAACAGGATAATGCATCTGCTGAATGGACAGAGGAAGTTTCTTTCAAAACTCACCAGTTCCCTCAAAAATACAATGTGTTCCTGCCCAATCGATCTATTTTTGCTACTTACAAAAGAAAGTGCCAAATTCTTTCTACTCCCGAGGTCCTGGGAGGCAGGTGCCGGGTGGGCCTGCTCCTTCCGAGCCCTGTTCTCGCGCCGCCTCTTGCTGCCTTTAGGAGTGGTTCACAGTCAGGAACGCATAGGAACGAACGTCGGCAGCAGAACATTTGACAGACTGATGAACTGGTGTTCTAGCCACACTTGGGTTAGCTTTAATAAAATAGAACATTACTGTGGCAAAGCGTGGGAGCCTCATAGGAAATCCGCTTACTTGTAAAAACAAAAAAAGTTTTCAAAATGACCTGAGAAGCTAGTGACTCTTCATTTACAAACCTGATCAGAATTTTGTCCATTATGACGCTAACCAATCTTTCCCAGCCCAGCAGGAAAGGGCCCTGTGTACACCTGTTGGCAGTGCCCACCAGCCCCAGCCCTCTGCCCCCTCAGATGCTCTAGGTTGGCCCCGATTCCAGCCCCGCCTCTGCGGAGCCTGCCCACCCACCTGCAGGCCAGCCTCCACCTTCTCAAGGAGGCTGCCTGGCCCAGCCCTCTCTCCCAACTCCCCTGGCCTGCTCTGAGCTTTTCCCATGGCATTTCCTGCTGCTAAGACTGCACATTTATGATGTATTATCTCTCTCCCTTCAGAAGAATGCTTCCTGTGGACACAAGTTTTGATCTGTTTTGTCGGCACAAACTCCAGGTCCCTAGAATAGTGCTTGACCGGTAGAAGGTGCTCCATACACATTTCTTGAGTTAACAAATAAACAGAAAGATAAAGTCCAAACCACTCAGACCAAACTGTATTTCTGTGACAAACCAACTCTTCCAGAAGAAGACCACTCTTCAGCTTTTGGAGCTGATCTTGTAACTTCATGCCCTTAAAAACCCTACTTACATTGTAAGATATTTACAACTTCAGTTTAGTATTTTATCCTATGGTGCTTAGGAAGCCATGTGTTCAACAAACAGTTTTTGATGAAAAATGTTTGGTTCTTGGGAGGTAAATTCCTACTTCCAATATGAGGGACAATGGATTTAAGATTAAGCCAATGATAGATAATCCATGTTCACATCCTTATAACATGTCATACTCTATATAAACAAGTGAAGAATATAGCCTCAGATCCTTTGTTTTTATAGAATACTGAAGAAAGGGGAACAGATACAAAGGATGTTCCAAGCACATAAATGAGAAACCTCACAGCAATCCTGTCCTGAAGAGCACAGGAAAACCCCAAACCTGCAGGTTTGCCAGGACTTACTCTGTGATGCAGGGCCCTGACGTGGGCATCTCTGCAACATGAGCCACTGTGGTTCTCTCACAGCCCCACCCAGGTCCCCCTGCATCTCGTCCCATGCACGGCCCATCTCTGAGCTGAGTCACTAGTCAGAGAGCAGCCTTCAGAGGAGGGAGGAGGCCCTACAGTGCTTAGGCAACAGCAACAGGAAAAACATCAGACCTCCTTTGCCTAATATTTACCAGTGAGGGGAATAAGCATAAAATCCATCTGAATGCGAAACGTCCAGAACAGGCAAATCCATAGAGACAGAAAGTTAACTAGTGGTTATCGGGGACTAGGGGATGGGGAAGGGGGAGGAATGACTGCTAATGGGCACAGGATTTCTTGTTGGGGTGAAGAGAATGTTCTGGAATTACATAGTGGTGATGGCTGCACAATTCTGTGAATAGACTAAAAAACAACAAATTGTATACTTTAAAGGGGTAAATTTTATGGTATGTGAATTATATCTCAATTTGAAATCTAAACAAAGAATACAACGAAGTTATTGTTCAAAATGCTTCCATTTAGGTTTGGCTAACTTGTGATATTTATATAGATATACAGTGTCACATTCTTCAAAATGTTACACTTTTAACCAGAAACTGGATCATGCCAGATGCTGTGGACAATACCTGAGATATGAGAGGCATGATGAGATTTTCATTTTTACTCTAACGGTATATGGGCTCAGAGAAAAAACAAACAGTTCAGACATGAGGGTATGAAGTAAAGAAAATAAGTAGCAGATTTCCCCAACTGCAACTGCCCAGAAGTAGACAAGCCGTTCTGGTGTTCAGTGTGACCATGCAGACATCCAGAAATGGCCAATGCACATAGGAGAAAATATATCTTTTTTTCACCTACAGGCAAACTGTCAAAAATGAAAATTAAGCTATAGTTTTCTTTTGTTACCAACAACATTTCCTAGGCATTTTTCCATATGAACATATAAAAATCTATCTTAATATTTTCAAGGGATGCACAGCACTCTACTGTATGGTTCACCATAATTTATATGACCAGTTCTACTTAGGGAGAGTTAGGCTGTTTTTGATGTTTTGCTATTACAGACAATTCTGAAGTGCACATTCTTGCTCATGTATCTTTGTACATATTGGCCAGCATATAGTATTAATAACAGAACTGCTGGGTCAAAGATGATGCGTATTTTAAAATATAATCACTGCCAACCTGCAATTCATTCATTCATTTATTTTAGAGAGAGTCTTGCTTTGTCACCCTGGCTAGAGTGCAGTGGCATCATCATAGTTCACTGCAACCTCAAACTCCTGGATTTAAGTGATCCTCCTGTCTCAGCCTCTCGAATAGCTGGGACTACAGGTGGGTGCTACGACGCCCTGCTAATTTTTCTATTTTTAGTAGAGAAAGAGTCTCGCTCTTGCTCAGGCTGATCTTGAACTTCTGACCTCAAGTGATCCTCCGGCCTCAGCCTCCCAGAGTGCCAGGATTACAGGTATGAGCCGCCACGCCCAGCCCAACCTGCCTTTTTAAAAGGTGTGTCAATGTATACTTCCTCCAATGGCTATTAAACTATTAAACAAATATTTTCTGGTGATGTTTCCCACTTTATTTTCTGGAGTATGCTGCTGGCCACACTGTTGTCCAGTGCCATGGCTCTCCTTGTGGGTGCCTGTTTCCAAGGGGGCCCAGAGCAGGGCACAGGCACAGATACTCCAGTGCCCCCACCAGGCCCTTCTGCACCATGCCGAGCAGATTCTGCAAGAGCTTCTTGCCCAAACAACTCCTTGTTGTTTCAACACCTACACTGGGCATCTACGATGTACATGGTTCTGTGCCTAGCACATCAGGGGACCTGGAAGGAAGGAGACTGTCCCTGCCCTTAAAGAATTTTCAGGGAGTCAT